TTGTGCAGCAGGTGAGGTCCCTTTTTTTTTAATTGTAAAAGTAGGAATAGTATTTGCCATATTTTTATGACAACCATATATGTATAGGTGCCATTCTTTTTAGTTACTCAATTTATTTGAAAAAAGAGTATAAGGGCCAGGGATTTAACTCAGTGGTGCTGCACCAGCCTCGCAAAGGTAAGGTCCTGAGTTTGATCCCCGGTACTCCCCACCCCCCAAAAAAAGAGAAAAGAAAAGAAAGAAAAAATAGCATATTTGATGAGTAGACATTAAAATTTATTTTTTTAAATTTTATTTTATTGGTACATTTTAGGTATACAATATAATGACATTCATCATTGAAAATTTGCACCTTTACATGATCCATCTTGGTTTTTATTTTTTCCCCCTTCCCCTGCCCTCCCTTCAACCCCTCCATCCCTCCCTATTTACAAAGACTTTGTTTCCATTTTTTCATTTTCTCATATCAATTCCATTTCCTTCTTTCCTTTCCCCTACCCCTCCCACTTCCCCTTCCCCTTTGGCCCTTTTCTTCCTATTTCACATTATTGGGCCGGGGATTTAGCTCAGGGGTTCCAGCGCCTGCCTTGCAACCGCAAGGTCCCGAATTCTATCCCTGGTACCAAAAAAACCCCACACATACACACACCTATTTCACATTATCTATTATACCATTTAGTCCTTATTTACACTTTCAGTTTCTCACACTAAAGAAACTATTCGGTATTTACACATGGGTTAGACATTAAAATTTATAATCATTAATGTTTCATTTCAAATTATAGATTTAAAATTTGTTTTCTGCCTGCTCATTTTTCACCAAATAATTTATCTTAGATTTAGAAGTCTCAGACATTAACTCTTAAGTCTTTAGAGTGAAAATATCAGTATGAACTATTGGAATTTATGTTTCTTTTTGTTAGCTATGGAGAGAAGTATTTTCCTGCTTATTTAATGGTATAGTTCTACAGATTAATGTAACAAAGTAAGATTATCTTTCTTTTCTAGAAGTTAACTAAGTAATCTGAAGTAACATCTTTGGACAGAAATACTACCTTGTTCCAAATTGCTCTAATACCTGAATTCTAACAATGTATAGACAAATAGATAAAAACAAATAATTTAAAATATTCAGAAAGAAGGAGATGTGGAAAGGAGCCTTTGTATCTATGGGAGAGGGTTGTAACAGTACAGTAGATGCTGTTTCTTGACATGAAATTAAGAGGTCAGAAGAGAGCTCTTTTTCTTTGACTTCCTAGAATCATGGAAAAGTGAGTTCCACAACACAGATAACCATATTTCTGTTGCTCAATCTTTTATGTAGATTTTCCAGCTCTAGTAGGTTCAGTTTAGGATGTGTACTCTGAGTCCTCATTGCTAGAACATGCCAAAACTTTTAACAATCCTATTTTTTTATTTTTTAGGGGCTCAGATACTTATTGTTATAGTATAGTTCATATTTACAATTCTATTAACTTCCTGAGGAGAAAAAATAATTACAATTATTTAAAATGTAAAGAATCACAGAACAATATGAAATTACATACTTTCTATGGTGTTTAAGAATTTTACTGTATTACCTTGATATCTGCCATATCTGTTTCTTTAAATTCTGTTATTTTCCCTCAGCTTCAGAGAGAGAAGCACTACCTTAAACTTGTCTTTCTTTTACCTCACTGTACATTTTTGGCTACATATAACATTTTATATTGCTTAGTCTTCATGCTTCAGACTTTTTTTTTCACTCAACATTATGATCCTGAGATTCATCTGTCTTTATTGCATATAGCTGTAATTGATGTTCAGTTGTGTTTTGTATTCCATTATATGAATGTGTACTAATTTATGTGTTCTGATAATGAACTGTTTGGATGGTTTTCAGGTGTTCATTAGAAGCAATGCTGGTAAGAACATCTACATCTACATATAACACTGATATTTAATATAGTTTAGGAAGAGGAAATACTGGATTTCAGAGGAAGTGAGGCTTATTTTCATGTAATAGAGTAAGATGTATTCTCATTCCTATAGGGAAATCTTAAATAGGACTGAGCCAGTGTAGGCATTCTTGTCTTTTCATGCAGATCTAATAATTTATTCTCTCTATTTGAAATACTGTAAGCTAGTACAGTGTTAGTCTTTGTGACCATTAGAGCATAGGTCAGTGATGCTGTGTAACTATATTCAAGTCTCTTTTTAAAGAGAGACTTGCAAAAGAAGCCCTGAGAGCTTTATTGTTTACACAACCTGGAAGCTATCACTTGAGTCCTTAAAGTGAAGCATGACATTGTGCAATGATGCGCTAATGGACAAAGAAGTACACAACAGAATCAAGGATGTCCTTTGGGAAGTTGACAGAGTCTGTTACAGATGTAATATCAAACTGCAGTGAGATGGAACTGAAGACTTACAAAGTACAGGGACACGTCCTGTGAGGGTTAGGACTTGACACAAATGGCACATCTGGTTTCTTGAGCAGTTGCATTCAGACCATTTATGAGCCCATCAGAGTATTGAGTGGCAGGACAAGGTCAGCAGCCCAAACACTTGGAAGGCAGCTTATGTACCAGCTTCAAAATAATTCTACAACACAACTTTACTGAGCTGGAAGTGTGTGCAAAATGGACTGCAGCAGGGCTCCTAAGTGACTTTTAAATAACAAGCTCAGGTGAGGACAGCACAAGCTGAGGAGGCAGGGCTGCAATGCACCCATAAGCAATGAGGCCTAATGGGTAAGCCTAGCAGCTGCAGAACAATCTGGCGTGTAGTGTAAGGGCTGGGCTTGATGTTGTGAGTATAGGCTTCAGGCTGGCTATGTAGTCCAAAAAGCAGGACCACAAACAATGTTAGGTTGTTTAAATAGCAGGCACAGCTGCTAACAAAAGGACAAACTTGATGTATATTCTGGGTGAAAAATATTGTTAGTCTCATTTTTGTCTTTGGCCATAATCATGAATCAAATTGAGGAAAGAAATTTATGTATGTGCTTGTGCATACACAAACACATGCAAAAGTAAAGTTGCACTCACTACTTTCCACCTCTTATTAAAACAGAAAAAACTTCAGTTTAAAAAAATAATGGTTGCGTTGAAATACTAGAAATAGAGAAATTTATAAGATTTTTATTCTTTGCCAATCTCATCACCTTTTTATATTATTGACATACTTAAAAGACTAATAATCCCTTACATCCAATAATGCAGTAATTTTTAAAAATTCAAAGTGCTTTTAGCCATTTTATTATACACTAATCTGTAGTTCCTTTCCTGTGGATTTCTTCCACAAGATTGCTTATTTATTTTTATCTTTCCTAGGGCTGCACAGTAGAGGATGTATACTTATTAAAGGTTGTTCAATAAGTTTAACAACTCCAAGGATTAAGATGTTAGTGTATGGTTACTTAATAGGGTACAGCTTTTCCTAGCCATTCTTAACTTTAGTGGTTTCAGGTAGTAGTCTGATTCCAGTAATCTGAATATGCCATATTGTACTTGCAATTTTCTTTCTTTCTCTCTCTCCCTCTCTCCCTCTTTCCCTCTCTCTTTCTTTCCTTCCCTCCTTCCCTCCCTCCCTTTCTTTCTTTCTCTCTCTTCTTTCCTTCCTTCCTTCCTTCACCATTTTTGTTCCAAAGTCACAACCTCTATGACTTTTCTTTCATTTTCCTATCTTGGTGGATTCATTGAGTTATGAACTATGTCACCTTTTTGTTACTAGGAGTTAAATTCTGATGAGTTAGGTGAATTAACTCATTTATGCCAAAGGTTGCAGCTTTCTTTTTTGCAAGAAATTCATATATGTTACATAGGAAAATTGAAGGAGCAAGAATTTGAAGAGAAAAATTTTTATTATGTTTCATTGATTGTGGTGTTCCAAAAATGGAATACTAGGCATAAATGGGTTAAAGGCATGTGGCTGGGAAAGGGATAATAGATACCATAAAGGGGTGAAAAGGCAATGTGCATAAGGGATCTGACATACTGCAAGTATAAGGACAGCCATCAAGAGAGAAAGGGTAAGAGTGCAGAAGAGACAGTTCAAGTAAGAACAACAAAGTGATAAAAAGCCCCTCACCTAAAACCCAAAGAGACAACTAAATTGTGGAGATTTTTTGGGTACCTGGGATTGAACTTGGGTCTGTTGCACTTGCAAGGCAGGTGGCAGAACCGCTGAGCTAAATCCCCAGCCTTTGAATTATGTTTTGACAAATATTCAAACTTCACTGTTTGAAGAAGACATGTTTTCAGTTTTTTTTTCACTTTATTAAATTCTTTTATTGGTACATTGTAGGTATATAACACAATTACATTTCTCATTGGGAATTGTACCTTTACATAATGCATCTTGGTTTGAAGAAGACATGTTTTATGTGGAGCAAAAAAGATCTCCAGATGCATAAACTTTTTATATTTATCAAAGTTCTTAATTACATTGGGAGGCCTATGTATTTTGGATGAGTCTTATTTTTAACACCCTCAAAACATGAATAATATTTTTACACATAAATTAACTGTGTTGTCAAGAAGATTACATTGTTAATCTTTGCCATTTGTAATTTGATAAATGTTGAGCCAAGAAAATCATCTTGATTATAAAAAATAAATTAGAAAACTATGCAAATAATTGTATTTAAATTCTTGTCCTTTTTCTAAGCTTTTAGTGCTTTTTAAGAAGTTACCTGTTTTTTCTTGGATTAGGATGGTAATGAATAAGGGGTATTGACTTTCCATTATGACATGAGGGTAGTCTGTATTGCCCTCTATTGGTGACTAAATTTTGACAAAATAATTGCTGCTAATGTATCCTATATGTGTATTTAGTAATTGTGTCAACAAATGTACTTTAGATAAAAGAATTTAAAAACCAACCTAATAGTTATGGCCATCACTTGGCAAAAGGTGGAAATAGGAGATTTTGCACTTCTTGATTTGTTTTATTGACTAAGCTGGTACTGAAATACTTTTGTCTTTGATTAATTTTAATTTAATTTTATTTTTTGTCAGAGCTCCACCTCAAGTCAGGCGTCCCAATCGAGAAGTAAGACCTCTAAGGAAAGAAATGGCAGGAATAGGAGCGCGGGGACCTGTAGGCCGAGCACATCCAATATCGAAGAATGAAAAACCTTCCACAAGTAGGGACAAGGATTATAGAACAAGAGGGAGAGATGACAAGGCAAGACTGTTTCCTTGTAATTTACTCACTTGAAGCCCATGACTTTGCTGATGATTATGAGTTTTGTTGGATTTTCAGGTTTTGATGTGGAAGAGATAAAAGAAGATTGAAAACCTAAGTGGTCTTTATATGTTGAAGGTCATACTACAATGCTGATAACCTCAGATGTATGGTAAACACACACACACATACACACACACACACACAGGTATAAAAATAGTAAAGTGAATCCTCTGTAAAAATATTCTAGAGTTTGAAAACTTTTGAAAAATATTTTAACAAATATTCTGAATGAAAATGAACAATAAGTGAAAACATAATTGTAGGAGATAGAAAAAAAAGAGGATGTATATATTCACAGAATAAGATGAGGGATATGATTTTCTACTGTTAAAAGTATCTTTTATTCTGAAATTACAGAGTTCAACCATGTATTTTTTTCTTTAGTAAGAATATTTCCCATGGTTGATGCTCATTGTGGACACGTACATACCTGGGAAATTGAGTGGCAAATAGACATAGTATTGTATGGAAATTCTTTACTACCTTTAAAATGGAAAGTGAGTTGAAGATGATCTTACAGAGTAAGGAGCTAGCCAGGATGACCTGATGCATCTTTAGCCTTAGTTTAGTAAAAATTGTAGTGATAGTATTTCCCATTTCATTGTGATATCTTCAGTGGAACTTTGTCTTTATTTTCACATAGCACAAGAAAAGAACTGTGGCCATGGATTATTGACTGTTTCTTTGCTAGGCAACATTCAGAGTAATCACAGTAATTTATGAAAAAAATCCTGCAAAGTAGTTATCTTCTATCCATTTTACAATGAAGAAACTGGTACAGAGAGCTAAAGTAACTTGCAAAGGAAGGAGATTTGAAGAAATGAGTCTGGAATGGAGTCTGGAAGAATGGGATTTGTAAAGTCATAATATTTTTGTCCTGCTTCTTTTAAGCCTTTTCATATTATGTAGTATTCCTCTACCAAGCTAGATTTTGAAAATCCAGGTTGGATTGAAAAAAGAAATCTAGAATAATTAATACTGAGTTTAAAGTGTGACAGCTCTTAAGCTAAGAAAAGAAACAAGCAGCATTTGTTGAATGCCAAATATATTTTCTTTCTGGAGATTGTAAAAGTCTTTGATTTATAATGTTTGCAAATAATTTTCTAAGTTTTATTCTTTCATTGATGTATAAGTACTCAGAATGTTACTGAAAAACAAGTCATGTGTTTAAAACAAACAAAACTCTGCAGTTGTTTTGCAGATAAATTTTTGGAGTCACTGTGGAAATAAAAGGGACTAGAATTTTTAAAAAGCAAACTCATGGAAACTTCATTTGAATTTGAGAGGTGTACTCAGCTCAGCTCTGATTGTCGTAACTATTGAAATATTCATTAGAATACTAGCATCTCAAAAAATAACTGAACATTGTGGTAAGGTTAGAGGCAGCTTAGAAAAAAAGTGATAGATACCCACTTCCATGGAGGCTCATTTGAAAGTGAGTATTGGAAATATCCTCAAAGGTATTGTAGTCTCCTCCTCTCTTTTTCTTAGTAAGTTTTGTGTGTTTCAACTAGCTTAAAAAAAAATAAAGCAAGATAGACTAAGAAATCCAGAGTTCATTGCCCATAGTAAAGATAGCAGTGTTTTGGGAAACAGTTATATAAGTGTATATAAATTGAGTTGTATGAATAGGTCATGATCTAAAAACACATTTATTACTTTGTGTAATGGTCAGAATTTTGAAAGTTGCCGCTGTGTCCCAACCACTTACTTAACTTTATAGATGTAAAAGTAAGGATAAGAGAAGTTATTTCTCTTGTCCAAGTTCCCCAGTATATTTGGATTTTTAGTTTAGTAACAAATGTTACTCTTCCTTGAGCACACTTAACCTTTTTGGAGTTTTCTACAAATAACCTCTTTGAAGATTTATCCATATCTTGGTTTATTTGATCCCTGCACTCCCCTGTGAGCACAGTATAAATTTCTGTTTTATGTACCAAGAAGTTGAGGCACTGCAAGTAAATGATAGAGCCAGAATTTGAATCTTAACTATAATGTCGGAGCTTTTAATCATTATACAGTATAGCTTCTTATTTGAAAATGCTTGCTATCTTGTTTTAATTTACCATGAATATTTCTTTCTAATAAGAGTACTAGTTCATTTTCTCATGGTGACTACATCATCATCATCATCATCATCATCAATCGTCATCATTTTGCTTTTTTAAACTGACAAGCTTCAGGGGCCAGGGATTTAGCTTAGTGGTTCTGGTGCCTGCCTTGCAAGCACAAGGTCCTGAGTTCGATCCTCGGTACCAAAAAAAAAAAAAAAGAAGAAAGTAAGAGCATTAAACTGATAAGCTTCAGGTTAGGTCCATGCTTACAATGCTGTTTTTAAATAAGTAATAATTACTTTGCATAGTGATCTATTGTTGAAGCCTTAGTGTTTTTTTTTTCTTTTGAGGCTCACAGGGTCATTCATGAGGCCAATTTGTAATCCCACTTATTTAACAAATCTTTATTAAGTTTATATTTTGTGTCAGTCATACTTCTAGGTGCTAGAAATATAAACTAGTAAAATATGGCCCCTGATCTCAAGTTAAATTTTCTCATTGTTGAGAGGGAGTTAAATGAACAAATTTACCTTTACACTGTAGTTTTCAGTCTTACTTGAATGTACCTGGAGTCTTAGTCTGTTTGAGCTGCTATAACAAAATATTGAGTAATTTATAAAGAATAGAAATTTGTTGCTCATAGTTCTAGAGGCTGGCAACCCCAAGATCAAGGAGCCAGCAGACTTAGTGTCTGGTGAAGGCCTGTTTCTCATAGATGGCCCTTCTATTTTGTTCTCACATGGTAGGAGAATTCCTCAAGCTCCCTCAAGTACCGGTCCCATTCACCAGGGTAGAACTCTCATGACTGAAACAACTTCCAAAGCCCCCACCGTTTAATAATAATGCATTGGGAACTAGGTTCAAGAGGAAAAAAAGTATGTTAGCCTTCATGCTAAATATCACATTCTTGCTAACACTGGCCTTAGTCAACTTGTGAAAAATCTAAGGCAAGAATTCTAAGGTCATTTGAAAGTTGTTACAATTAGTATTATGCAGGAGTTATAGTATCTTGGGTGAGATTAGCTTTATTGCTTAAAAACTAACGGTGTTTTAAATGTGGCAGTTAATTAGCTGGTTAACTGATACCACAGTTATTTATAATGTGATGTCCGTATTCTAACTTATCTATATATTTGTTACAAGAGTAATTATCATCTATTTTTTTATTTTTTTCTTTAAGTTTATTGATACATTTTAGGTATACAATACAGTTACATTTATTGTTGGGAACTTTTACCTTTACATGATGTATCTTGGTTCTTGTTTTTTCCCCATTCCCCTGCCCTCCCTTCCACTCCTCCACACCTCTCTATTTACAAAGACTTTCTTTCCATTTTTTCCTTTTCTCATATTTTTTCCTTTCCCTTCCTTTCTTTCCCCTACTGCTCCTCTTCCTGTACCCTTTTGGACTTTTTCTTCCTATTTCACATTATCAGTTATTCATTTTGATCCTTATTTACACTTTCAGTTTCTCACACCAGAGAAACTATTCGGTATTTACACGTGTGTCCTATTTATTTCACTTAAGAGTATGGCCTCAGTGTGCATCCACTTAGCTATAAATGTCTCTAGTTTCTCGTTCTTTATGGCTGAGTAGTACTCCATTTTATAAAAAAACCACATCTTTATCCAGTCTCCAGTTGATGGGCACTTGGGCTGTTTCCAATCTTTATGTCACCTATTTAAATTATCTTATTTAATTCTAGTTTTCTTAATTATCTTTCCTTTTACCTTATCATTTTGCTTTGAAAAAGTTTCTAAATACAGAGTATCTCATCTCTACAACTGGGAAACTTTGAATTCTTGGGCAGATTGTTTGATGAATTTATGCCTGTGTTTCTTCTGTGCAGTGAGAGGCTTTTTTTTTTTGGTACCAGGGATTGAACATAGGACCAGGCCCTTTGCCGTTGAGCTAAATCCCCGGCCCCATGAGAGGCTTTTACTTCTTTATCACCTCCTCCTGTACCATACTTTTTTTCAATACCATGGCCAGAAAGATCATCTAGAACTGTTAATCATTTTATTATATCATTCTCATGCACTTAGTATAAAACTCAGGTTTATTTCTACCCACATCTTGTACATCTTCCTTCTATTCCATACCTTTTAGCCACACTGACTAATCAGATTTTTCATTGCACTTGAAAATTTATAATTATGTGTATCTTTCCTTTGTTTGCTTCTGTTTTCCTCCACTAGACTAGATAGATGCTTGATGAGGCCACACGGTGTATTTTATTCACTACTCTAAAACCCAATGCACAATAAAATGTGTTGCACATAGTAGATGCTCCGGTCTCTGTTCCTAAAATCTTGTGACCTTGTTGCCTGAAGATAGACATGCAGCTTTTCTTTTCTCTAGATAGTGTTTATCAAGTCCTCCCCTGCCACTTGGGCTCTTACATGAAAATGAAATTTTAAATTTAATTTACTATCTTAAACTACAATTTCCATATGAAGACTTGTTAAGCTCCATATTAATTTGTTGTATTATTTAGTAGTTCCTAGAGTAATTTTTAAATGATTACAATGTGTTCCCAGTGAATTGTTTAAATGAGACTTTGTAGTCTTGGCCTATCCAACTATAAAATGTGATTCTAGGCTGAGTTTGTTTTGAATTTTTTATATAGCTAGGCCAGAAATTACTTCCTTTCAGTAGTGTCAGTATTGATGATATATGTCATCTAAAATGTAACAATCTTACTAACAGTTAGCTTGCTGGTACTGCCATACTGCCTAGATAAAGTAAATTGTTTATTTTGGGGATCAAGTGCCACAGTACTGTTTAGTCATTTATTTCGTTGCTAAAATAACAAGAGCATCTGCCAAAGGAAGCTATTTAGTTCTCTCATAATACGTAATACACCTGTCATTTATCTCAGAAGAATTGGGATGAGAGAAGTCCATTATGTTCTCTTCATATTGTCTCTCTTCAGTTTGAAGTTGATTATGGCCTCTTCATATTGTCTCTTCAATTTGATGTTGATTATGGCCTCTTACTGTCTGTCTTCAGCTTGATATTTAGGAGATTGATTCACTTTGACCTTTTTTCCTCCTCATTTTACATCAGACAAGAACCCTGGGGCTGAAGTTCTGGGGATGTCCTTGCTTTTCTGTAGTTGAACTGTTTGGCAGATCAGTGTGTTCCATTTAAAGCTCTTCAAATTTAAAGCTCTTCAAAGCTGAGTAGAATCTTGGTAGAATTCCATAGCTAGAAACTATAGCGTATAATTTTTTTAAAGGCACCTCATTATTAAATCAAGAATTTGTGGTAAAGCATATTGCTTTAATGCTCTTAATAATACTATTTTAAAAGGTCATTTTACCAGTATCATTGCAGTGATTTTATGATGTGGCCCAAGGACCTCACTGGAAGAAACTGAGAATCTTGAGGGCTTACTTACAGTAAAAGGCAAAAACCGTGTAGCTTCAGAGTCCCAAACCTTTTTTCATCTACAACTTCATTTTTGGATGCTATGGAGAATAGTTCTGCAATCCACAGCTGCTCTGAAGCGTTAAGCAACTGGGCCAAGGCCTTAAACAATCTGATGTGGAATGGTGTGGCTTTAAGGAGGCAGGAAGACCTGAGTTAAAATCTGTCCCTGACATTTATTTATTAGTGATCTTAAGTTACTGAGTCTTTGTGAGGCCTAGTTTCCTTATCTATAAAAACAAGAAAAATAAGTATCTACCTAGTAGGATTATTGTGTTAAATGAGATGATATATGTGAAGTTTTTCTACCACATGGTAGGCTCTTAGTAAATTAATTTTCTTTCTTATATGTTGTTACTGTAGTTACTCTCTAGCAGTGGTGGAAATTCTTTGCGTCCATCAGTTAGGCTTTCCCAGTCTTTTGGGATCTAGCAAAAATCATCTTAGTTTTACCTGTAACTGTTTCTTTAAGAATGTAAATTTGAAGATGTTTATAATAAATTTAATCAGTTCTTTCTAATTAATTAAATCCTAGAGGAGGATGGTATTTGAACAATCAAGAACTTACAACTTTAAGTTGTAAGAAAATATTTAAAAGTGATTGTATTGTACTATTTTGAAAGCTTAATGATATTAAAATTGTTCTATTATTGACCAGAATTTATTTTATGGCTGTTCCCAGGGAAGGAAAAATATGCAAGATGGTGTAAGTGATGGGGAAATTCCAAAATTTGATGGTGCTGGATATGATAAGGATCTGGTGGAAGCTCTTGAGAGAGACATTGTATCCAGGAATCCTAGCATTCACTGGTTAGTATTTTAAGTTCTTGAATTAAAGTAGAAGAAAAAAATAGGTCATAGCTTGGGTTGGTGTGAGTCTTTCGTTATCCATTAATTTTCTGATTATGAGTCTGCAGAATTGACAGGACAGAGTATAAAGAAAGGCATTTTATATGTTAATTTTGACATTAATTGACAGGTCATTAATTGAATAACGTGTTGTAATTAATAGCTGCAATGTTGTCACTGATCATTTTATGCAGTTACAACTAGAATAATGGTCTTAATATAAGAGTAATTTCATAAGTGAAAAAATGTAAAAGAATTACTTTTCACCATAAAGGTGCCCTTGAATAATCATTGTGAAACTTTGTTGTTGTTGCAAAGGGATGACATAGCAGATCTGGAAGAAGCTAAGAAGTTGCTAAGGGAAGCTGTTGTCCTTCCAATGTGGATGCCTGACTTTTTCAAAGGGATTAGAAGACCATGGAAGGTGAGAATTTTTTTTTTCTTTTTTTTTGGTACTGAGGATTGAACTTGGGCCCTTGTGCTTGCGCAGCAGACGATGAAACCACTGAGCTAAATCCCCGGCCCTGGAAGGCGAGAATTTAATAGTACGGTGTTGGTATAAGGATGCTGTCTTCTTGTAGATTTTTATGTGTTTAACTCAGTTTGCAAAAGTCAAGGGAAGTTTGTATACATCCTGAATACCTGCATTTAAATTTGTAGTTGAGATGTGTGGCAAGAGAGCTGGGCTTGAAATGTTGCAACTATCTTCTTCAGTCTGTCACTTCCTTCAGGTGCTGAACTAGAGGCCAATTTTGAGTTTTCTGGATATCTGTTTCTATAAGTAAAAAGTTAAGCAAATTAAGCAGCAGTAATATATAGTCTTAAAAGTATTTGATCAAATAAATACTTTTTTAAAAGTTGGCATGTTTCTCAATAATCATTAATTATTTTGATCATCATTTGATCTAGGCTCAGTATAATTATTAGACAAAATCAGAATGTTTATTTCTTTGTAGTTTGCCCTCTGCTTTAGAGGGTAAAGCCCACTCAGGAGTAGTTCTGCTTAAGTTCAGCATTTTTACTTTAGCATATTAAAAACCTGTTCCAAGCTGCCAGGAGCTTTTTTTTTTTTGGTCTTAGCCGTAGGGAGAGTCTTCCTCTACTTTGACTAACAGCATGATCTTACTATGCCCAACTTACCTAGAAAAGTCTGTCTCTGCCTACCTCTGCTCAGGTTCCTGTGCTGAAAAGAGAAGAGAAATTGTATATTTATCTGAATAGTGTGAACATTCATGGCATTTTGATTGCTTCTCACAACTTGAAGAGTATTTTTTCCCCTTAACATACTTAAAAAAATTTTTTTTATTTGACACATATGTATGAACTGTGATCAAAATACACAATGAATGCTTAATTTTTTTTTTTTTTTTTGGTATCAGGGATCGAACTCAGGTCCTTGTGCTTGTGCAGCAGGTGGTGAAACCACTGAGCTAAATCCCCGGCCCTGAATGTTAAATTTTTTTTAAAAAATTACAAATAGAAGGTACATTGCCATTAATCTCCCTCAAAATACTCCCCCTTGCTTTGAACACATTTATCACACATCACACATGGAAGCTCTTCCAGGCTGTCATGTCCAAAGGTTTTTGTTTGTTTTCTTTTCCTTTTCCCCCCTCCCCTCCCCTCCATAGTCCTCTCCTCCCCTCTCCTTCCCTCTACTCTCCTCTCTCTTTGCAGTAGCTGGAATTGAACCCAGGGCCTTGTACGTGCTAGGTAAGTGTTTTACCACTAACTATACCCCATCCCTCCCCTTTTTAAATTTTTAAAATTTTGAGTCAGAATCTCACTAAGTTGTCCAGGCTGCCCTCAAACTTTTGATCCTTCTGCTATAGCCTGCCAAGTATCTGGGATTATAGCTACACCAAGCTCAGTATACAGAGTTCTCATTGGAGTCTCATTATGTAGGCATGATGAATCAAATCATTGCCATGGGTTTCAAACCCCAAACCTTTCCCTCTCCAGAAGTTGAATTGATATCATACAGTTCAAAACCCCAATTCTTTAATCACATGGTCAGTGTTTCTGGCATGGTCAGCTCTCATCCTGAGTCATCTGTGTTAACATAAACTATACAGGGACCCTGCATTAGTTATCTCATTAGCATAATTCAGAGCCCAACATGAATAACAAGGACACTTTGTCACTCACTAATTTCCAAGGTACTAGAGGCTACTTTCCAGATATTGGAGACAAAAGCTAGCCAAATTCTTTATTCTAGAAAGTACAATGAACTGATACTGAAAATTGATGAGAAAAGGGCAGGTTTAAATAGAGAAAAAAATGTATTTAGGTAAATACTCAGCAGCTAAGTGGAAATAAAGGTCTGGAGCTTGGGATAGAAAAAGTTTGAATTTAAATTTAAATTGTGAGATTTAAATGGTAGTTTGAGGTATGGATGAATTTGTTCAGGATTTTTATAAAGGGAAATGAGCAAAAGACTTAGAAATGCTTTGGAAGTATAAGAGGTAGAGGAAGAGGAAATCTAAAATACACTGAAAATAGAGTAGAAGTGTTGAGAAAAAAAGCAGCATTACAGAACCCAATGTAAGAGTCAAAAAACAGGAGGAAGAGGAAGACCCCCATGTATCAGAAGTGTCAGAAGTCAGAGAGAAGGCAGGAGGGTAAGATTGGAACAGGGCCATTGGAGTAGTAAGTTAGGTAATTTAAGTGAAATGGTAGAGGCTAAAATAAGATTGTGCCCTATGAAGAAGAAATAGTGAGCATGAATCACTTCTTTATTGCCTGTGAAAGGAAGGAGAATTGTATGCTAGCTAGAGAGAATTTGCAGAGTCAAGTGAAGGGTTTTTTAAAAAAATGGGACAAGGGCCCGGGTACCTCAGTGGTTCCACCGCCTGCCTCAAAAGCGCAAGGGCCTGAGTTTGATCCCTGGTACCAATAAATAAATAAATAAATAGTTAGATAGATAGATAGATGGATGGGTGGATGGAACAGATTTAAGTATGTTTCTCTACCTAGGAGAAAGAGCCTATAGACAAGGAAATACAGGAAAGAGTGGAGATAATTGAAGGAATAATGTCACAAGGCGATGAAACTTACAGATATTATACTGTATCTGTGTACAGATGCTAGTGTTGGAAATTAACTCCTTTTGGAGGCAGCCACATTACTGACATTACAGGATCCAAGAGGGGAATGGGGGATGTTAGAAAGAAAAGGATGAACTTTGCTATATCTGTGCCAATAACAGTGCCTATAGCACTGTTTAGTTTTCAAAATCTCAGTCTCACACAAAGTTAAATTCTCCCTACAAAGCCAAAAGAAATTTTTATAAAATGAGTATTTCAGCTAGGTATGGTAGTGCATGCCTCTTAATTCCAATATGAAAGGAGACTGAGGCAGAAGAATGCCAGTTTGAGCGGAACCTGAGCAATTTAGCAATTTAGGGAGACCATGTCTCAAAATTTAAAAATAAAGTAAAATAAAAAATAAAATGAGCAGGAGATACAGCTCATTGCAAAGGCCCTGAGTTCAATCCTCAGTACCACTCCCCCACAATCACACACACACAACAAAACAAAACTCTAGTGTTTCAATTCTAAGTGATCTCTGATTGCTTTGTGTATCAAAATTGTATGGCTAGAAAGGGATTTGGACATTTTTGAATTTGGGATTTGGACATTTTTGAATTTGGAATTTATGGAACTTCAATGATGCTTATCAAACTAAATTAGCAACTAGACAATAATTCCTCTTAAAGAATCACCAACTATTAAAAAAATGTAGTATTGACTGTATCCAAATTCTCATTAAAAGTGTGAGAAGGTAATATTTAAAAATTCATTAGTCTTCAAGACTTAGAGGATTTGTTTCCTTGAGTCATTTTTATGCCTCACTGATTTGTTTTTATGGAATACTTCGTTTTCAAAAATATGAAGTTAGTTTAGTTTTCAGTCTGTATTCAGTGACTCATCAGTAATGTGCATGCCATGGAGCACATTAAACTGATGCAGTTGTAGCTAATCTGATTGTTTGAATTATCATTGGGTTTGACTGTTAGCTGAACTCCTAAGTGGATCTTTATTTTTCACTGAAAGCTGTATACGTGAATTGTGTAAGATAGAATTTGTCCCTTTCAGAGGGAAAGGAATATATGGCTCTACATGTAGTAGGAAATATCTTTTTTTTTTTTTTGGTACTGGGGATTGAACTCAGGACCTTGCCCTTGCAAGGCAGGTGGCAGAACCACTGAGCTAAATGCCCGGACCAGGAAATATCTTATTTTAATTATGTTTAAACAGAGCAGTCACTCTTAAGTGGTACACAAGACTATACAGAATTATCTCATCCCAGGATCAGGGAAGGGTCTTTCTAAATGTACCAGAAGGTTCTTGGCCAGGCATTTAGCTCAGCAGTTTCACTGCCTGCTGCGCAAGCACAAGGACTCGATCCCCGGTACCAAAAAAAAAAGAAGGTTCTTAATAGGAAAATCTTCATGTACTTCAACATTAGCAGTTGATGGTTTATGAAAAAAGTTTAACCTGATCAGTCATTTTAAATTCATCTTTTGAAATTTTAGGGTGTGCTGATGGTTGGACCCCCAGGCACTGGTAAGACTATGCTAGCTAAAGCTGTTGCCACTGAATGTGGTACAACATTCTTCAATGTTTCCTCTTCCACACTGACATCTAAATATAGAGGTGAATCTGAGAAGTTAGTTCGGCTGTTGTTTGAAATGGTGAGTGATTATGCATTCAGATCTCTTGTTTATGTAGGCACCTGACATTGCCCCTTAATCTAATCTGTTCACCTAGGAATCTGTAAAAAGGGCAGTGTGGTTGTATTTTAGTAGTTTGGATACACTAATGAGAAACAGGTGGCAGGTTTTGTGGGATAGTTGGCGTATCTTCAGTGTATCTTCCTCTGTGAAGTAGAAGAAGGCCCTTTGGGATCCTGTCCAGTAGGAATGGAAAAAACTTTGGCTCTTTGTGGGTTGATTGGTGCTTCTTCATGTCTAGTGAGCTGGTGGAACAGAGAAATATTTTAATGCTTGAAAAAATCAGTTAGAAATTGTTCTGTCATTAAAGTTTATTACTTTTTCCTAAGAGATTTGCAATACTTACTTAAGAATACACGCTGAGGGTAGAGGTTGATAAATCTTTTAAAGAAGTTTTCATTATGGAAATTTCTAAACACAAAAGTGAAAATAATAGTAACAGTGAATCCCCATGTATCTATCATACAGCTTCCAACCATAAAGATTTTTAAAAATTTATTTTTCCTGATGTGACTACTTCAGTTATCCTCTTTAATAAATAGTTGGTAGTAACATTAAAGCAGTGTGAAAGTTCAACTTTCATTTGCCATTTCTTAAAAGGAGATCTAGTATTTAGAAATATTTGGCTTGCTTTATGAGATCATTGATTTCTTTAAAATATTTTCACAAAGGCTAGGTTTTATGCCCCTACCACAATCTTCATTGATGAAATAGATTCCATCTGTAGTCGAAGAGGAACCTCTGATGAACATGAGGCAAGTCGCAGAGTCAAGTCTGAGCTCCTCATTCAGATGGATGGTAATTGACATTTAAGTACTGTCTTTCTTTTTTGAGCTTTTTTGTAGATTCATACTTTGGAAGTTCTCAATAAATGAACTAGAAGACAGCTGAAATTTAATCATTTATTCATATACTTTTCCTCACTTTTTTCACGAATTAAGCACTTGTTGCATACTTGTAATGAATTGTGAACCATTCCAGGTTATGAGGTTACAGAGAAAAGGTACCATGGCCCTCAAGGAGCTTACTATTAGAGCAGAGGCTCTAGAGGTGTGTTCTGGAGTTCCAGGGTCCTTGATTCCTTTTTAAAGAGTCTACAAGGTACAAACTCTTTTACTAGCAATATCAAGAAATTATTTGTCCTTTGCACTCTCATTCTCTCACAGTTGTACAGTGGAGTTTTTCAGCAGCCAGTCAACTTGGGAATATGACAAAAGATGGAAAATAGAAGCAGATGTGAGAACTGTTTTCTCTTTAGTCAAATGTTAAAATGTTTGCAAAAATCTCATATGGTTTTTTTTTGGTTTTGAAAAATACACTTATTTTTTCATAAAAATCTTATTTGTTAACAAGTAATAGATTTATTTTTGAAGTTAATAGTTTAAAATTTTGTTTTAATTTCTAATGGTAAATATTGATCAGTAAACTCCATAACACACACACACACACACACACACACACACACACACACACTTCTTTGGAGCTCCCAGTACTTTTTAAAATGGTAAAAGGATGCTGAAACCAAAAAGTTTGAGAAGGACTAATCTACATGAGAAGCAGGCATCTGATCAGAAGATTGCAGTACACTGTGATAGATTCCGTGCTAGAGGTAGACTCTGGGTGCAATGAAAATACATTAGGAATCATACCATCCAGACTAAGGACCACCTGACTTGAACTTTGAAGTGTTGGTCAGAGTTTTCCAGACAAAGAAAAGGCATTTGGAAGCCATAGAGGGAAGAAAGATACTGGCTCAGAACTCTTTCTCTGGTTATGTGGTGAACAACAGCTGTTGAGCCAAATCATGAGAAAAAATAAAAACGTGTTGAAAAATATCCAGAATGTATTGCAATGAAAAGGATTTTGTTGGGAATGAAAGGATAACCCCTGGTTATCATCCACCAACTATGCATACTTAACTGAATACTTATTAATGTGTATTATATACAGTGCTAGGCACTGTAACACAAAATAATGTACTAAGTGTTCTTTCCCTTAATGAGTTTGCATTTTAACTTTTGCTTAAGTATGAGAGAAAGGAACAACTGTGTTATGCTTTTGGAGGAGGGGGTATAGAGGTGAACATTAGGTGTTTAAAGTTGGAAAAAACAGTGAATAAGAATTTAATCAGCAGAATTTGAGGGGTGTTTATGACTGTCGTTTATTAGTTGGACTGCTTGATTCTTTGTGATAATCATTGAAATAGGAGTTTAATAATTTTTAAGGAAATAAATATTGAACTGGGTTGCTGTTAATCTCCTACTTTGTAATGCCAGGTTGGAAAATATACATACATACATACCCACACACACCCACACTCACACACATATATGTATGTATGTATATTTTTACACCGCTACATATTTTCCAGAATTTCTGTCGTATGAAATGGAATTTTATATTCTGAAATTTTAATTCTGAAAAAGTAGACTCTTTGTACATACATAAAATTGGTTTGGCCTTAAAAAGAAACAGAATTTTCACTACTGTTTGATTATTAAGTTCATTCTTAAATATCTTTTCTTGATTATTTTTTACAAGTCACTTAAAAGTTTGAAGGACAGAATAATTGTAGTGTAACATGTCTTTGAAAACTATGATTTTATGTGTATTATTAAGTAAATGTGTACCCTCAGCTGTTCTTACTTCTTGAGAAAATGAAATAAATTAGACTCAAAACTAAAATAATTTTTGAATAAGCTTATGGTTAAAAAAAAAAGCAGCCTAATTTCTGATGCCTTTTCTGTTCAGAAGAAATAGGCTTTTTTTTAATACCAAAAAAAAGTTTTTAATTATCTTAGAATTCTGCACTAGATTTTGTAAAAATTCTTTTACTTTCTTGCTTTGTAGTTAGTTTTCTGTTAATGTGTCTGGTTTTGCTACCATGTAAAGGTCAGAAAAACTGCAGAATTTTTATCATTTACCCTCCCACCCAGCAGTGTAACTAACATTTAGAAATGGTTGGTTGAATGAAAGAATAAAAGGCTATTATAAAAACACTGAAGCCTTTTCTCTCCCACTTACTTATTAGGAGTTGGAGGAACTTTAGAAAATGACGATCCTTCCAAAATGGTTATGGTATTGGCTGCTACTAATTTCCCCTGGGACATTGATGAAGCTTTGAGAAGGAGATTAGAAAAAAGGATATACATACCTCTCCCAACAGGTGTGATACCTTCCTTTTATTATATTTTGAGTTTTCTGTTGTTTCCTGTTACCTTTTTCAGTTTACCTAACTCTGTTCCATTGTCATTCTGCTCAAAGGAGTTTATAGCATCACAAAACCAATTTGTAGTAGATGGAAATGGAGGCCAAAGTACTCTGTTGGAATTTCTTACATTTGTGTTAATAAATTTGGTAGCACTGAAGTTTTTACTTTTAAACTTGAGTCTTCATTAAACCTTTTTTTTTTTTTGAGACAGGGTCTCACTATGTAGTTCAGGCTGACCTTGAACTCACAGCAATCCTCCTGCCTCAGCCACCTGAGTGCTGGGATTATTGGTGTGCACCACCATGACCAGCCAGTAAACCTTATTTAAGTGATTAAAAGTAAAGTTCTCTTAGGGTCATTTACAAAATATGATGCTTTGAAAGATATAATTTCATTTAGTTAATGAATACTAAGTTTTCCTAAGAGAATTTTTGTTTTATTTATATATAGTAAAATGTGCATATCAAGTGTGTAATTCATGAGTTTTGATAAATGTATCTTCCAGTTTAATCAATATTCTATTCAAGATGTAGGACACCCCAGAAAGTTTCTGTGTCCCTAAATGGTAATTCAGACCTTCATCAGACTTTAACGTTACCTGATTTTTATCATCATATTGTTAGTTTTACTTCTTTTTAAGCTTCACATGAATGAAATCATAGCAAAATGTAGTCTCCATATCTAATTACTTTCATCCAGTTTAATATTTTTGAGATTTGTTCATGTGATTACATGTGTCACTATTCTTGACATGAGGATTATACCATAGTTTACTTGGTTGATGGACATTTGAGTTGTTTCTAGTTTTTGGCTATTATCATAAGCTATATATCTTCCTACACAAATCTTTTTAACACATGAATGTTAAATTCTTTTGGATAATAAGAATAGAATAGATGAATCATAAGGTAGTTATATTTTTAACTTAAGAAAAACTCTAGCTGTTTTCCAGAGAGGTGTGACTATTTCATACTCTTACCATCAACGAATGAGAGTTCCACTACTCCCACATCCTTGTCAACATTTAGTGTTATATTTTAGTTTTATTCATCTGGTCAGTGTAAATCATCAAGGTTTCAATTTGTATTTTTTTGGTGACTTACCTTTTCATGTGGTATTGGTCCAGGTTTTTAATTACTTGCTGTTTTATTAACACTTTATATAAAGGTCTTTATCAGATATGTGCCTTGTAAATATTTTCTTCTAATTTATAGTTTGCTTTTCAATTTTCTTTATGGCATAAAAATTTTTTATTTTACATGTTTGCAGTACATAATGATTACATTCATCATAGGGAATTGGTATATTTATTATAAAAAATCTTAATTCTTTTTATGTCCCTCCCATGACATCTTTTGGGAAACAGAAATTTTTAATTTTGGCAAAATCTGCTTGTCAAGTTTTTGTTGTTGTTGTTGTTCTTTTTTTTTTATTAAATACTTTTATTGGTACATTGTAGGTATACAACACAATTACATTTCTCATTGAGAATTGTACCTTTACATAATGCATCTTGGTTCTTATTTTTTCCCCATTCCTAGCCCTCCCTTCAC